TATGTATGTATATATATATATATATATATATATGTATGTATATAAATATATATATATATATTTTTATATATATATATATATACATATTTATATTTCTATATATATAACACCTAAACTAAAGTTAGGTGTTAGATATGTAAATACATAGGAATTAAGTGGGGCATGTGTGTAAATCTTCCAAAAATTTAGTATCTATATATTATTTTTGTTGGACTTCGGCATTCGGTTTAATGTCCCGTCTAAAGTCTTGGCAATGTTCGAGTCTATTTAGCTTAACATGAAAAGAAAAACAAAGTTTTATTATTATTATTATTACTATTTGACTTAAACACGGCAATTTGAGCAAAAAGTAAGAAAATCACATTCAAGATTATTGAAAATAATCAGTTCAGAAAATTGACAAAGACTAGGAATTTTCGCACCGATTTGGTGCATAAATAATGTATCAGCTCTAAAAAGAAGATGATGTGGTAGTCTGGACCCATCAAGGACAGTTCAAGGGCTCATATTTATCGAATCGATTCTCGCGGGGTTGGAGAAAAGTAGTCTCAAAACAGACAGTACTCGACCACCATCCTAAAGTTTATTGGCGCAAAACTAATGCATATGAATATGTCGGCATTCAACTAGTTCGAGCGAACGATGAAAACCGCCCATATCTAAATTAGTCAATCTGGGCCTATCGATTCACCTTTCAGCCAGAGCTGCCCGGAAAATGACCCAGCCGATCATCCCCTCAGGCGCTCAGCGAGTGGCCGCCTGACCTGAAATCTGGCCAAAGGCCATCCCAGGCTCCGGACTCTATAATTATGTATTAACTAAAAAAATACCTCATAATGTGCCTGTTTTTCTAGGGATACAACATGTAATCTCACATTCTCCATTCCTATAAATAGGGACTCATTTCATGATTAAAAGTTATGTGATTTCATTGTTCATTGTTAAGTTCTCTCTGCTCCATTCCTCGCTTTCACCTTCTATTTCTTAGGCTTGTCTCACAGATAATTTTGGATTCAACCAACTCAAATGTTTTTAATTTAAGCACATAAAAATAACACAAGCCCACTTTGAATGGGTATGTACAAGCATTTCAAATGATGTGAAATATACATACATATCACAAAATTTTTTTGCATATACACTCGTTTACGACCGAAAGTATTTTCTTATATTTACTTAATGCCTCGATTTATTTCTATAAAAAGATTTATTTCACTTTTAAAAAATCATAATATATATGATTATATTTTTTTATGTGATCTTAAAATTTTAAGTGTTACGTATATAAATATGTGATTGTAGGCAAAGTCTTGAAAATCAGATGGTACTGGCCAATTCGATCGGTTTGATCATAAACCGGTGGCTAGTCCGATCCAAAACACTTAATGGACTACTTCTGACGTCAAATCGGTGGGAACCTTCGGTTCCTTCATTTTAAAATAAAAAGTATTATTTTATTTTATTTTTCCTTGTCAATCTACCCAATTTAAGGCTTTGTTGTGGTTGTTGTTGTTGTGTGAATCTACCCAACAGTCCAATTCAAAAAGGCAAAAGGTAAGATCACATGAATGCCGTTTTCAACTTTTCATATATATATATATATATATATATAGGTTTTTTGTTTTCGTGTAAAGCTTTTCGAACTTCCCTTGATGACATGGCACTTTTCATATATATAATGAGAGAGAGAGAGAGAGACTTAAAGGGACTAGGGTCACAGAGCTACGGTGAGAGGAAATATAATACTAATAGGAAATTTTTATATTGATATTATTAATTTTAATTATTAAAAAAAATTTTGGGAGTAGAATCAATTATCTTATGAAAATAGCAATTTTTTTATGAATAGAGCCACTTAAAAACATTTTATTTATTTATCTTTTTTATATTCATATTATTATATTTTTATTGTATTATTTAGATTATATTTAATTAATTTTTATATTTATTGATTATTACATCATCCGATTCAACCCCGGTCAAACCAATGAATTTTGAGCCTTTCTTTTTTCCGGTTCTATCTCTGATCTCGTTTTAAAAACCTTGCTTAAAAGACAAATAAAATTATTTTTATAAATAAACTTCAAGATCTTATAATTTAAGATGTTCATGAAGAAGTTAATACTATGTGAAATAAAATAATGAATAGAATTAAGAAGTTATAAAAGATGTGCTTGAAGAATCAAAAGGAAAATCTCTTATGAATAAAATGGTTTGTGATAGAATTGCATCCAAATTTAGCTACCCTTGGTTATTTCACGTTTAACCATAAGCCCTTCTGCCCCTCCATGAGTCCTCACAGAATATTGTCAGATCCAGGGGAACTTCTCTATGTCGTTTGGTGGAGTAATCTAAATTGAGAGATTGATTTGATAAGGGTATTTGGGTCAGTCTGTGCAAGATAAGCTTGCTTGTACGGACAACACTCCCACTGAGGAGTAGAAAACACATAAATGATATCGTGGGAGTCACTGAATCATTAGAGAAATTCGAACAATTATTGGATGCACATTACTCTTTAATCAAGTCCTCATCATAGCATATGAAGAAGCTGTGCAAAAGCAATAATGCTTTGAGCCCATCACTTTCAATGATTTCTACTTGGAGGGAGTCCAACTCCCTCACCAAGACCCTCTCGCCATGAACACATGCATTGACAAACCTTATTTTAATATGAACAGGATTCTTAACGACAACAATAGTTATGTCGACATCTTGTTCTACTATACCTTCTTTAATATGGGGTTGACTAAGGAAAAACATCAACCTGCACTAGGTCATTTTATGGGCTTAATGATTGACTAGTAAAAATTGAGGGAACAATCAATCTTCCCATCATAATGAGAAAATTTCCCCTATAAATGACTCAGTCCATCCATTTTATTGTTATCAAATCAGAATTAACACATAATGCCATCTTTGGAAATCCCCTCCAATCCATCTTTAATATCATCACTTCCGTGCCACACCTTAAGCTAAAGTTCCCAACCTAAAGCAAAATTGGTGTTATACTCAAAAACTAATAGATGACACAATCATGCTACCTTGTACAATAAGCATTGTTCTAGTAAGAGAAGAAAATTTGATTCAATGACTCATCAACTACATCATTATGATTCTCTGATATAGAGAGTATTTACCCATTGACAGACGAGATTGTGTACTTCCTTGCACACACCATCAATATCTACGCATAGTTTTTTTTAAGGCAATTTTGTAAAGGCTAGAAGCACCTGGAAGGAATGAAATGATCAGTAAAATTGGGGGAGTTTGACATCAGAAACTTGTCCAAACCAAACTTCAACATAGTTTTTTTTAAGACAATTT